AAGAGAAGACCAGGCCTCTTGGCTTGGCCTGGTTTCTATCGGGTGCCCGCAGGCCCTGGCATTCCAGATCACTTCTCAGAGTCCTTAGCTGGAGGTTTTCCTGGCTACCTAAGGAGTGAGTGCAGGCTGGGATCAAACACTCCAGGGGACCAGCCTGGGGGCATGGCCAGTCTGGGGATGTTTTCTTACAGTTGGTGTGTAGAATGTGGGAGAATGATGCTCTTCTGGGTCCCTCCCTCTTCTCTACTTTCTCTCTGTTTCCCTCTCCCTGCTCACAGCCTCAGCCCAGGCTCAACTCGAGCATAGAGAGCCCTTGAGGTGCCTGCTCCTCAAGCCATCTTTGCTCAGCCAATGGGTCAGGATCTCGGACGCCCAGCCAGCTCTACCCCAAATGGCCGTGGGACTTGGGCTTCTCACAAGCCTTCCCCGCTGCAAGCTCTTGGCCAGCTGCCTGCCCTTGGAGCTCTTGAAGTCTCTTCCTCCTCTTCCCACTCCAGGTTTTCTATACCAACTGCAGCTGCGTGGCAGAGGGCAACCCCGTGATGGCAGGATCCTGCGACTCGACCTGCAGCCACCTGGTGGTGCCCTTCCTGCTCCTGGTCAGCCTGGCCTCGGCCCTGGCCTGTCTCACACACACACCCTCCTTCATGCTCATCCTAAGGTGAAGGTGGGGGCGGGGCAGGGGCAGGTGGATACCAGGAGGTCCTTAACCAGAAGCAGAACAAGGAATTCTGAGGGGGGAGTTCAAGGAAGGAGGCCACTTGGGTGTCCTGGCCCCCACAACGTGGCCTTAACTGTGTTCATCCCATGGCAACCTACTAAGGCAAGGTTTTCTCCCCATCTTGCAGATAAGAAAATTGAGGCTCAGAGAAGTTCAGGAGCTGGCCCCTGTCACATAGCAAGTGTTGGGTGGAATAGTACTGGTTCCCTGGCCCAGAGCCCAGGCTCCTACTTGCCCAGGGGAGAGGAGGACATACCTAGGGCCCTGTCCTGGCCTCTGGAGGTGAGGACATCATACCTGCAATGGATGAGCTGCAGGAGGTGCATGTAGGAAACCAAACTGTGTCAGTCCGGTGCATGATTCTGAATGCTGCTTCAAGGCTACATATAAGCGCTTATCAGGTGCCCACTGTGGACCCAGCCCATGCTGAGCACTGCCTTTTGGGCCAAGATCTTTGTGGCCCTCATCCTGAGAGTGCCTGCTGGCCCTGACAAATTGTCACCTGAGTTCAAAATCAGGGTCTCCTGGGGTGAGGACTGGGATAAGAGGACTGAGTGAGAAAAAAAAAATTTTTTTTGAGAAGGAGTTTTGCTCTGTCGCCCAGGCTGGAGTGCAATGGCACAATCTCGGTTCACTGCAACCTCCTCCTGGCTTCAAGTGATTCTCCTGCCTCAGCCTCCCTAGTAGCTGGGATTACAGGCACCCACCACCACACCTAGCTAATTGTATCTTTAGTAGAGATGGAGTTTCACCATGTTGGCCAGGCCAGTCTCGAACTCCTGACCTCAGTGATCCACTTACCTTGGCCTCCCAAACAGCTGGGATTACAGGCGTGAGCCACCACACTCGGCTGAGAAAAACAGTTTTTCTATTCTGTCACTCAACAATCAACACAGAAGACTTCTGCAACAAGTGTGGGGGTATTTTCCCACACACCAGGCACGCAATTAATTCTGCAGTGGACCCCAACCGGTGTCCTCCAATTCTATTCTGACAAGATCTAGCTGGAGACAGCATCAGATCCCACAGGCCGAGTGCTCAGTCCCACAAGACTTTCCCTCCACTTCCCATGCCAACCGCAAGCCCTAGGCTGTTTTACCCATGCTTCTGACTGACCAGCCTTACGCTGGGATTTCCACAGCCCCATCTTTGAGTTTGCTTTATTTGCTAGAGTGGCTCACAGAGCTCGGGAAAACATCTACTTAATGTTTATCAGTTTATTATAAAAGATATTACACAGGATACAGATGAAGTGATGCACACAGCGAGGTATGGGGGAGGAGTTTTCATGCCCTCCCTGGCTGCACCCTGCAGGGACCTCCATGTGTTCAGCTATCCGGAAGCTCTCCAAAACTTCATTACGTAGGCATGATTGATTAAATCACTGGACATTGGCAGTCACCTTAACCTTTAGCCTCTCTCCCCTTGCTGGAGGTTGGGTCTGAAAGTCCCCACCCTCTAATCCTGCCTTGGTCCCTCTGGTGACCAAACCCCAACTTGAAGCTCCCTAGGGGCTGCTCACCATCAGTCCACTTATTAGCATACAAAAAGACACTTCTCACTTTGAAAAGTCCAAGAATTGTAGGAGTGTATGCCGGGAAGACCAAATAGTATCTCACAATATCACAGGGACCTCAGAGCAAGATAATTTCCATTTTCCTTCTCCTGGGATTATTTTATTCACTATCTACTTTCTAGGAAATTAGAAGGGAAATGGAGCCCCTCGCAAATACTAGAAGACATGTAGATCTAGAACACAAGCCGGCCTGGGAGAGAAAATAGAGGAATCAGATGCCCAACAGGCAGCCTGACTAAAAGGAGTTGAGAACACAACCTCAGGACTGTGTGGATAGGGCCCTGACCGCTGTTGGCCATGAGATCCTGGCCAAGTTATTGAATCTGTCTAAGTGTCAGTCTCCTTATCTATAAAATGGGGCTAATGTACATCTCACTCATGGGAGTGATATGGGGTTGCAGGGCAGAATTACTGAGCCCGTAGTAAGTGCTCCATAAATGCTGGCCACTGGTGTTGTCTGGCAGGAGCCAGAGGATCGCAGGCTGTGGCGTTACAGTGGTTGGGGATGCTGGGGAAGTGTCTGGCTGTCCCAGCTCCAGGTCTTGCCAACTGTAGGAGTAAGGGGAGAATTTGATGGGACCAGTGGGTGGAGGAAGACGAGTGATGTCTGTGACCAGAAACATACAGAGGTCAGCACAGGACCCTGATGGTCAGTGGGTGTGTTGTCTTGTATATGGGACCAGGCTCTGCAGGTTGAAAAGGGATGGGGTACGTCCCTGAGCCCCCCAGCTTAGATCATCAGATGGGAGGGAGGCTGGTGCTGGGTGGTGGAAGAGAAGGGCATGATGAGAACCCTTCACCATTGATGCCTGGCCCCTGGGGGCTGGAACCCCTCCAACCTCATGTTGCCCATGTCTCTGCTTGTTAGAGGAGTGAAGAAAGAAGACAAGACTTTGGCCGTGGGCATCCAGTTCATGTTCCTGAGGATTTTGGGTAAAGATCTTGCTTGGGATCATTGGTGGTGATGGGGTCCAGATGCCCACTGTGTGCCAGGCCTGGGGCACAGGCATGAGCAGAACTCAATCCCTGATCTTAGGGCTCACAAGCCCATGGGGTGACAGACCTGGCCCAGCTCTCCTACAGCGGGGTGTATAGGCAGAGGCTAGACAACCCATCAGGAAGCTACCTCAGATACAGGGGTGGGGTGGGCTTGAGGGCCAGAGAGCCAAGAGGCCCCAGTAACCCAGAGCCCCTGAGGGGTTGTATGTGCCAGGGAGGGGGCAGGGCAGGACAGTGGGCCTTCGTTATCCCCTGAGCACCGCCTCCCTCAGCCTGGATGCCCAGCCCCGTGATCCACGGCAGCGCCATCGACACCACCTGTGTGCACTGGGCCCTGAGCTGTGGGCGTCGAGCTGTCTGTCGCTACTACAATAACGACCTGCTCCGAAACCGGTGAGACCTGGTTTGACGGCTTGTGGGAAGGGTGCTGGAAATACTCTCAGAGTCCCAGGCAGGATACCAGCAGGCAGGGGAGGTTTCATTTACGTCTACCTGCTAGGTGACAGGTGCCATTATATATTCAGTGCTGAGCTCACCAGTCCTTCAAGCTAGACACTGCCCCCCTCTTTTTATAGATGAAGAAAGTGAGAGTTAAAGCAAGTAGCCCAAGGTCACACAGCTAATAACTGGCAGAGCTGGGTCTTGACCACAGCGTCTATGCAGGAACTTGGGGAGAAATAGAGGAGCAGCCATGCTGCAAGAGGGACTTGGGGTGAAGGGCTGGGGAGAGAGCTCTGTCTAGGACACAGGAAGCCTGGGTTTCAGGCCCAGCTCTGTCTCCCTCATCATGGGACTTACCTGGGGCTTAGTCTTCCCATCTGTACAATGGGGAACTCAAAGGAACCTGAAGGCACAGAGGCGGCTGGCCTGGGATGGATGTGGAGAGGACTTGATAGCAGGGCTGGGGACAAGGAGCTGTTCACTTTCAGCTCTGAGGAGGTGAGGAAGGCACAGTTCCTGTGGGCTGGGACTGTCCACAGGGGGCTTCCTAGAAGAGGAAAAGTCAAACAAGGGCCTTGATAGTTAAACAGGGGAGAGGGAACCCGTTTGTTCTTGGGACAGGTGGGGCAGTATAAAATTCTACTTGTCAGGCCCTCTGAGCCCTTAGGCTCGGAGACAGGCAGGGCCAGCCCAGGCCACAGAGCAGAGTCCAAGACATGGCGATGAAGATGGCCAGGCCTCTGCTCCCACCCAGGGCTCCTCTGCAGAGCCTCTCCCTCTCCTTCAGGGAAGAGCTGCAGCAGAGGTCAGTGTCCCCCTGAGGCCTCGGTGCCTCTGATTTCACAATGAGTGATGACTGCTGATGTCCATGCCCTGGCCTGGCCGCTCTTGAGTTCAAGGGTTCCCATTCTTTCCCCAGGTTCATCGGCCTCCAGTTCTTCTTCAAAACAGGTTCCGTGATCTGCTTCGCCTTAGTTTTGGCCATCCTGAGGCAGCAGGACAAAGAGGCAAGGACCAAGGAGAGCAGATCCAGCCCTGCTGTAGCGCAGCAACTGCTAGTGTCAGGGCCAGGGAAGAAGCCGGAGGATTCTCGAGTGTGAGCCGTCCTGGGGCCCCACCTGGCCAAGAGTGGCAGCCACAGCAGTACCTCCTCTGAGTCCTTTGCCCAAGATTGGGCGTCAAGAGCCCTGTGTTCCATTCTGGCTCCTCCACTAAATTGCTGTGTGGCTTCAGGCAAGACACTGATGCTTTTTTGAGCCTTTGCTTGCTAGTCTGAACCAAAGAGTTGTTTGGGCATTTGCTGTGTTGGCCATTTCTGAAGCAAGAGGGTCTTCCTCCTCCTTCCCCCAGCCAGCCAGCTGTCCTGGAGCCAGGCTTTCCTGGGTGGAAAGATTGCATACCTTTCCCTGGGGCCCTTGGATAGCAAAGTGAGCCATAGTGGGCCAGGCTGCCCCCCATGCTGGGCCCCAGCCCAGGTCTGCACTCGCCTGGATCACCCTCTCTGAGCCTCAGCCATCTCCTGTCAAGTGGGAATGAACTTGCCAGCCTTCAGGCTTGTTCAGCTGTGACCATCTGTGCGGTCAGTGTACACTCAGGTCTCCTCCCCAACTCCAGCAGCCTTTAAGAAGTGTCCCTTTGGCGCCCCCTGGAGGCAGAGCACTGAGCTGGACCCTGGGTAGACTCCCACCGGGAGGAAGGAGCTGGCCTCAGGTTTGGGACACCCAGACTTGGCAGGGCCTTCAGAAGGCCTGTGTGGGGGCCCCAGGAAGCCTTAGCTGAAGCCGGGAGACTCATTCTCCATCTCAGGAAGTTCTAGCCCTTGCCCTCAGGGAGCCATGGTTGAGGATGAGGCCCAACACCTGCCTTAGGGGCCCTGGGTGGGCAAGTCTGGGACCTGGGGCAGGGAGGGAGACTCAGGCCCACACTTGGGTATTTTCTAATTTCAGACAAACACATACTCAGCGTGCACTCACTGATTCCTACACATTGCCAAGATTTCACACATGTGACCGGGGCCACCAAAGTCCCTGTGACCTTTGTGACTAGGATCCTAATTTCTCTATTTTCTCCTGAGTGCCTGGGTCTCTGTTACTTGGGGCAGCATGGATAATGTTTAGTTCTGTGACACTGTTTTTTGGGGGGTGGCACCTGGTTCTCTGGATTCCTGGGCTGGCGTCAGGCCCATTACTGTAATGCCGGGAGCAGTAAAGCTCAGCTCTATGTAATGAGTGATGCTATGGCTTGCTCAGGTCTTATGATCCAATCCTTTTCTACATCGGCCCTTGTTTTGTTTTAAGGCTAGTCTTATCTGGCCTGGTTATTTCCCTGCGGGGAGGAGAGAGTTTATTAGTCTGCTCCCAGCCCAACCTATTGCCACCCCACCTCACTGGGGCCTGCTGCTTGGGAGGCAGCAGATAGGGAGCCACCAGCAGTGGCTTCCTGGCCCTATGCTTGGGGTGGGGGGAAGCTGAGGTCACATGTGGCCCTTGCCTTTTGAGCAGCTCCCAGTGCCAGGGCTTTGAGATTTTTCCATGTGATAAAAGAAAAGGGAGGTAGAGAAGTTCCAATTCCCTTTTTATTTTGCTGGTTGGTATCTGTAAATGTTTAACAAATATCTAAGCATGTATGTATCAATGCCAAGAATTTCAAAGTCTCCAACAATATGAGGCTTTTAGGATGTTTATATTCCTTCATCCCTCTTGTTTCCCAGGTTTTGCAGGGGAAAAAAAGTCTGGAATTATAGATACAGCTTATTATTAAATTTGTTCTTGCATAATGTCTCTTCTATTACAAAAATTCTTTCTTTATAAACTGCATTAGAGGTTTGCAACAACCACATCATTTCCATTAACTTAGATTTAAGTTTTACTGGATTCATTGCTCACTGTTATTGCTTGTATATTACATCTTTTCCTATCTTTATATTCTGGTTTAATTTTTGTTTGAGTGAGTGACTTCTACTAATGGTTTCAAAAATGGAATAAGGTCACGAGGATTTCTGAATCCTCACCTGTCCAAATTATCATTCACATTTTACAGAAGAGGAAACTGGCTCAGAAAGCACAAGTGAGTTCCCCAAGATCACAGAAAATAAATGATGGAGCCAAGGTTGGATGTGAAGACCTTGTGGGAACTGAAGGTTTTATAATTTGAAGAGCCCTCTTTAAGAAAAATATACAAAATTATAAACATAAAATTAGGTACAAAGTACCTATATTTACCTATAATGAGAAAAGAATGCAAAACAGATACATCACACAATCCCCCAAAAGTGCATAATACTTTTATTAACTGCCCTACATAACCTCTAAAACACATTTTCTCCCCCGATGATTAGAAGAATTTTCCACAGACTAGCTTCTGGCTCTGTACATTTCAAGCCTGGTTTCTCCTGTTTCTTCTCTACTGACCATATACTTCCTGGGCTGGGTGCCATGAGACACATTCATATCACGATATGGCAACTGAATATCACCATGCCAAGTGAGTTGGGCAGTGGGTAGAATTCCTAGAAGCTATTCTCTACACAGGGATTACTAGCAATGATTTACCTATACACAGAGAACCACATAAATATTAATACATCCTGTGTTTCAGAGGACCACATAAGCATGTCCTAATGAACCCAACTCAAATCAGTCCCCCACTCAGCTTCCCCTTGGTCAGATCCCAGAAGTGCCCATGGCCACTCCAATTATCCCATATAAAGGAAAATTGAAACACAAACAAAGCTGGAGTGGGAAGAAAATAGTAATTTCTACTGTGGTTAAAGTATCTTACCTTTGCAAATTTTACAAAAATATGACAACATGAACACACCACCGAGGCCCTCCCGTGGATCTGGGGAGACTCCTGGACACTCAAGCTGTATCCATATCACGGTGAGTCCACCTCTTTGTTGAGCCAAGATCTGAAGGAAAAGACGAGGTCCTTGTGCCTAAAGTCTTCCAAACTGGCCATGGTGAAGAGACTCAGGAGTTACCCAAGACAGGAGCAGGTCAGGGCCAGAGGGGTTTTCCAGGCCTTGTGGGGGCCCCAGGGAAGTCCTCTCCCCTAATATAGCCTCTGGTCAATGAAGAGCCACAAGCATTTGCATCTGTGAGCTTACTTTCTTACCCTGTACCAGGAAGCTGGGAGGAGAAGACATTAAGTCTCCCTGCTAGATTGTGCCAGTGTAAAGTCAGCAGAGGACAGGACTCAGACCAGAACTGACATCCTGATGCCTAGGCCTGAGGTTTCTTTTCTTGTACACCCTGGGAAGGTCTGGGATGCTAGAGGCTGGTAAGTTCTAGGGCAGGCAGATGACCCATCATGAGCTGGCCTCCAAGGGTCATGACTGACATGCACATAAGTGAAAGAGAACTCATGGACATCCTCACCATTGCCTGGAGGTGTTGAATTATTTCCCCTTCACATACCTTTGCTTATGCTGTTCCCTCTAACCTGGGTTATCTTCTTCATCCCCACCCCACTGCTTGTCTCTCTATCCCCACTTCATAAAGTCCTACTCAATCTTCCAGGCCCAGCTCAAAGGCCACCAACTCCAGGAAGGCAACATGGTACAGGCAATGGGGGGCAAGTGACAACCACCTCTGGGGATCTGATCAAAGACATAGACTGTCCACTAAACATAAAACAAAACACACACACAGACAAATACACAATTGTGCATTTGATTTCAGAGGTTGAAGACCATCTGATGCCTGGGTGTAGACCTCCTAAGAATCCCAGATCCCCAGTCAAAAGCCCTTAATGGAGTGAAAAGATTATAGAGTTGTGGAGAGAGTCAGGCTTGGGATCAGATCTTGACTCTGCCACTTATTACAGTGTGACCATGAACAAATGATTTAACCTCTCTGCACCTCAGTTTGCTCACCTGCAAGTGAGGTTGAGCATGCCTAGCTCCTATATCCCAGAAGCTGTGAGGACCGGGTAAGATCATGTACCTGCTCACAGGCACCACACCTGATGATCAGGATTTGTAAGCTCCCTTCTCCTTCTGTCCCAGAAAAAATTTCATAAACACAGAGAGCATCAGGGTGGGAGGGGGCAGTGACAACAGAGGAAGGAACGTACCTCCTTTGCCCTACCCTGGTCGCAGCTCTGTTGTCCCCAATCTCTCCTCCACTGTCAGCCAGGGCTCAGCCAGCCCAGTCTTATCTCTCCCCACAGCCAGCTTGGGACAGCTTTTCTCAACCAGATTTACATTTTTATTGATTTTCTTTCTCCCTCCTAGAGCAGTCCCTCCTGTCTGCTTCCCCTTTGGCTATCAAATGGGCTTACCCCAGGAAACAGCAATTCTGGGGCTGGCCAAGAAGTGATGGTTCAAGGTTGGATTCACTCACCCTTCATTCATTCAACCACTCACATGAGCAACATATCCTACATGTCTGCTCTGTGCCCCTCTCCTGGCACTGCTGGGGACACAACCATGTGTCAGATAGAGTCTCTACTCAGCAAACTCTCAGTGTAAACAGACAAGCTGACAAACAGTAACAAAACCATGAGTAGTCAGTCATACAGGAGAGGGAAGAAGCAGAAGCCAAGGACTCTTCCTGGGGCCAATAGGGAAGGCTTCCAAGAGGTTATATCAGACCTAGTGTTAAGGATTAGGCAGGACTTCCTCAAGTGGACAAGGTGGGAATGGGCAGGAAAAACAACAGGATGAGCAAAGATAGAGAGGGGTGTGTCTGAGATACAGTGACAAGAGCAATGTGGGCGGAGGGCACTGCATGTGCAGGGCAATAAGGAGAGAGAAGAGAGCAGAGGCTGGAAAGACCAGCAGGGACCAAGCATGGAGATCCAGCCGAAGGTGTGGACGCTTTCCTGAGGGCAAGGAGGAACCCCTGAAGCATTGATTGATGGATTATTCCATTGGCCAGTTATTTTAAGCAGGGAGTGACATGACAAGATTTGTATGTTGGAAAGGTCACTGGTTGCACCATGGGGTCTTTGAGCGGGAAAGAGAAGCTGAAGGCCGAGAGCTCAGGCAGGAGGCGGATGCAACAATCAAGAGAAGTAGGAGGACTGTATCCAGGTCAGGAGAGGCATCCTAAAAGTGGGACATCTAAGGCGAGTCTTGAAAGATGAGTGGGAACGCACCAAGGGGAGAAGTTGGGAAGGGTGTCAAGGCAGAATAAACTGCACAAAGTAGACAGAAACCTCCTGGCAGGCTTGGGGTATTTCCACTAGTTTAGTACGGCTGTAGCATGGCTTAAGAGAGAAGGCATGGGGAGGGTGAAGCTGAAGAAGTGGGTTGACGCTCTCAATGCCACTCAGTGTTGTCCATCTCCTGAACCTAGTCCCAGGTGAGAGAGGAGAGGGAGCCCTCACCTCTGTACAGAGGTGGCTGTACAGGTCTGAGCCCTAGGTCAGGGGCGCTCTTTAGTCCAAACAAACTTTTTCATGTTCACTACATTTCACATTTTACACAGTCCTTTTATACCCCATCCTCATGGTTTCCTGGTGAAGAAGTCAGGAAAGGGATTATTATTGCTATGTAGTAGGTAAAGAAACGGAGGCCCAGAAAAGTGCAGAAACTTGCCCAAGGTCACTCAAGAGCCCAGGTATCCCCCTCCTAAGACTCCCATGTTGTTGCTAATAAACCTACTTGTCCCTGAATCACATATACACAATAGATGTAGTAAGTACTAACTAATGTGGTTGGGATGAAAAAAAGGGGGGAAGAGAGAAAACACATCAGAGAAAGAGGCTTCCTTTTTATGTCCCCATTTCCTCAGTCTTCATCCTGCAGCTGGGGACATTTCAGCTGGGAAAACAGAACCCAGGTCCCTCTGCGTTGAAATCCAATAGACAGGAGGGCCAATCCCAGCACTGCCACTTACCAGGCATGGGAAGTCACTGCACTCATCTGAGCCTTGGTTTTCTCATCTATAAAAGGGAGAAATAAGTTTCGCCCATCAGAATTGTTGAGAGGATTTAATGTGATAAAGTAGCAATATAGTAATCTACTACTGAGTAATAAATTTCCTGGCTGACACAGTGGCTCACACGTGTGATCCCAGCCATTTGGGAGGCTGAGGCAGGAGGATCACTTGAGCCCCAGAGTTTGAGACCAGCCTGGGCAGCATAGAGAGACCCCCATCTCTCCAAAAAATAATAAAAAAAAGAAACTTAGTCAGGTGTGGTAGCACCCACACCTGTAGTCTCAGCTCCTTGTGAGGTTTAGGTGGGAGGATTGCTTGAGCCCAGGAAGTCAAGACTGCAGTGAACAGTGATTGTACCACTGCATTCCAGTCTGGGTAACAGAGCAAGGCCCTGCCTCAAAAAAAACCCAAAACTAAAAAACAAATTTCCACAAAGTTTAGCAACTTAAAATAACAAATATTTATTATCTCATAGAATTTCTGAGGGTCAAGAACCCACAGATGGGCTAACTGGAAGGTGCTGGATCTTCATGAGGATTTCTAATGAAGCTGTAGTCAAGCATCAGCCAGGGCTGCAGTCATCAGAAGGCTTGACTGGAGTGAAAGGATCCACTTCCAGGCTCATTCGATGATTGTTGTTGGGCCTCTGTACCCTGTTGGCAGTTGACCAAAAGCTTTGATTCCATGTGTCTTTTATGATTTAATCTTGGAATTAACATACCATAACTTGCCATATTCTCTTGGTCACATAGACAAACCCTGGTATAATGTGGGAGGGGAATACAAAAGGGCATGAATACCAGGGGTTATGGATCATTGGGAGCCATCTGGAAACTGGTTACAACAAGAACCCAGACCAGTGCCTGACCCACAATAGGTTCTTATTCATTAGTCGCTGCTATAACTCTTGCAATGACCTATCACAGCCTGGTTGAGAAGACAAGATCTGGACATGATAAGGTAAGAGATCTTTGGCAAAGTGAAATGTAACTTGAATTAAAGAGTGTTCAATTACATTAGAAGAGGGTGTCTTAGACAAGGGCCTGGCAACTAGGGAAGACTTCCTGGCAGAGGTGGAGAGGAGGTAGGAGGGCAATCCAGAGAGAAAACAGAAGGTGAGTATGGCAGGTGGTATTGGTTGCCTTCCCAAGGCAAATGCTCTCTTCTTCATTCCGATAGCAAGGTGCTCAGCCAAGGGATGACCCAAGGCAGCAATGGAAATGCCTTCCCCTTTGCCAGAGAGTGGTCTAAGAGTAGACATGTGACCTCGTCTTAGTCGATGACATGTTTGGGGATAGTCTGCTGGGAAAGCTTCTCTCCTGGATAAGAGGATGATGTGAAAGGAGAACACCCTTTTTGTTACCATGCCCTTTCTCCCTGCTTGGGAGGACATGGTTCCTGATGGCACTCAGTCTTCTTGCAATCACAGGGGTAGTCACCCTCAAGGCTCAGAATGGGAAATGCCTGGGTCATCAAAGACATTGTTGAATCAGCAGACCAATCCTGGTACCACCTTCTTCTGGCCTCATTAAGAAACAAAAATTTTAAGCCACTCTAAAGCAGGTGACCTCTTCCTTGCATCCTAAATGATTCAGTGAGAAGTATCCTGGTTCCCTCTGGGACTATTTTCTTTTTCTGAGGAAGACAGAGGGAAGAGTGGAATGGGAAAGGGCCCAGGCTGGGAGGCAGGTGTCCTTGGTCTAACCCCAGCTCTGCCTCTGAGTTGCTGTGTGATCTTGAGCAAGTCCCTTCCCCCTCTGGGCCTCCAGTGATTACAGCTAATATTTATTGGCTGTTTACTGTGTGCCCAGCGCTCTTCTAAGAGCTTCCCTTGAATCATCTCATTCAATCTTCACAACACCTCTGTTATGGAAGTATTACTATTATCTTTATTTTAGGGACAAAATAAAGAGGCCCAGAAACATGAGGTCCAGGATCCTGACTATAAAGCCATATTGCCTAGCAGTAAAAGGAAGTATCCAGACAAGGTGACCTCCAAGGGCCTCTTAAGCTCAAATATTCTTTCATTTGCTGTCCCATTTCTAGCTACATGATCAACAAGCCAGCTTAGCCTAGAGAAGAAAGAAATAAGGGCTGTCTTTAGACATCTGAAAAGCTGTCATGTGAGCAGGAGATTAGACTTACTCGGTGTAGCTCAGAGGACATGAACTGGACCAGTGTGGGAGCACGACAGGGAGATAGAGTGCAACTTACGTAAGGGAGAATTTTCTAGCACCATTTGGCAGGGGGCAAAGCTATGCCCAGATGTGATGACTCTCATGTCATAAAGATTATGCAAGCTTGTGTTTGATAATGCAGTATTACTGACAAAGGTTTGAACAGGTATGGGACTGAATGACCTAAGACTTGTGGTAGGAATTAAATGGGATAACACATGAGAGTGCTCCTAACATCATAACCAGTGCAAATAGAGAGGATCAATAAATTGTTGAGTTCTCTTTTTCCTTTTTAACACTGAGATTCTTGGATTTTAAAATTGTCTAATATGGAGTTTTGGCTCTCTGGCTCTAATATTTTACAGTTCTATAATTTCTGTGATTCTTCCCTGCTAAGATGCTATGATTTTAATACTAGAACTTTCCATAATTGTGTAGCTCTAGAAGCAGAGAAGCCTATGATTTTATAATGTAATGGTCTCTAGCTTTAACAATTCAAGATTGAATAAAGTGTCTCTCACCAGCTCCAGAAATACAAGGGAGTTACTCCAAATGCTGTGGTTCAGTGGCCTGGACACACATTGGGCTGTTCCTTCTGCCCATCCTGTCATTCCACCGTCATTCTCCCACCCCAGCCTCAGGCTCTCTGTCCCAACTAACCCTCCTCCCTAATTCTGAGCCCATCCACACTCTGCTGTCTCCTAGCCTACCAAAGAGGTACATTACTCTCTACCTGCTGGTTGTTGTTTATTAAGGAAGAGTCTTCACTGTGACGAGGCTTATACTTATTTCAAAGGGAATATAAAAAATGGGAAGACATGGTTATGGTTCTCACATGACCCAATGTCTAGAGACACATGTCCCTTCCTTTCCCGTTAACCCAACTCAAATGTACCTCTTCCAGGAGGCTTTCCATGGTTGACACTAAATCTCTAACACCAACAACCTAATTTTGAGTGTGAAATGTGAAGATATGAGTTCCTTGGTTGGTTATTGTACAGACCTGTCACTTATCTGTCTATCCTGTCTCCCTGATTATATGTGAGATTTCCCCCTGAATCAAGAGTTTGGCTCCTCAATGAGACTGGGAATTTTACAGCAGAAGACCATGTCTTCTCCATCAGACTGGAGGCTCCATGTAGACATGGGCCAATGTTCCCTTGTATCATACTTGAGTAGAGTTAGAGGTACAGTAATGTTCCTCTATCAGATCAACAAACTCCCAAAGGCAAGTATATGTCTCTGCCATTGGACTAACGATTTCACAAAAGCAGAAGCCACATCTCCCCTTTAAGATATGGAAGTCCTTGGCTGGGCGCGGTGTCTCACGCCTGTAATCCCAGCACTTTGAGAGGCTGAAGCGGGCAGATCACCTGAAGTCAGGAGATTGAGACCATTATGGCCAACATGGTGAAACCCCATCTCTACTACAATACAAAAAATTAGGCAGGCATGGTGGTGTGCACCTGTAGTCCCAGCTACTTGGGAGGCTGAGGCAGGGGAATCGCTTAAACACGGGATGCAGAGGTTGCAGTGAGCTGAGATTGCGCCACTGCACTCCAGCCTGGCGACAGAGCAATACTAAGTCAAAAAAAAAAAAAAAGATATGGAAGTCCTCAAGGACTGTACCTCCACCCTCAGGCTCGGGCCCCTCTCCCTGACAGCAAGGAGTCTGTGTATTCCCTCCCTCTATCCTAACCCAGGACTCTGGCCATAAGAAGAAATATTTTTCTTAAAGCAGATAGACAAATATATGGAAAAGAAAAGGTTGAGGAGGCAGAGTAGGAACTCGAGCCTCTCCCAACATGCCCACACCCTCTCTAAGTCTCTTCTGGACCCTATTCTAAGAGCTGATGTCCCTTGGCCAGGAGGGTGCCTCTCCCAGCTCCTCCCAGCAACTCAGAGCAGTAAGTGAAGATGTCAGCACCTTGGACAGCGCCCAACCCATTACAGGACGCGGAGCCAGCGGAAGCCAAGCTCTCCACCTCCCTCAGCCTCTGGGTGATGGATTTCCTCTCTTCTCAATTTGATTAAAGCCCAGTAGATAACCAGAGCGCCTTGTTCCTTTCTCTTCTCCCTTCCTGATGAACATAATTAACTCCGTCAGGCTGGGAATGCTTGCTCTTAAATACTGCCTGCCCAGCCCCCACCCAGGCATGAATCAGTAAAACAGACAGAACACTTGGAAGATTCACACGTTTCTTCCTAGGGAATGAAAGTGGGAGATGAAGCTGTCTCTGAGATATACAGAGGCTGTGAATGAAGGCTGAAATGTGGTGGTTGGGTAGAGAAATCCCTAAAATGGAAGTCAGGAAGTTTAGTTTAGTCCTAGCTTTGCCACTAATCCAGATATGATCTAGAACAGGTCATGTGCCCTTTCTTTCTGAGCCTGTTTTTCCATTTGCAAGATGTACATTGGACTAGACAATATCAGATGCTGAGTTCAGTGCTAATGTGCTATAGTGGAAAACCTTTAAAACAGAGAGGGAATGGGACTTGCCCAAGGTCACACAGCAAGCTTACGGCAAAGCTGGCTTGAATTCATGGCTCCTGGCTTCTACCCCAATGCTATTTCCACAAACTTACCCCTTCATTCATATCACAGACTTTCTTGCCTGAAGATCGAGGCTAAGGAAGTTAAAAACAGATAGGATTACATTAATTGGTGTTAGCAAAAGAAAATAACATTAAACATATGTGTAAATGCTAATCTTTCTGAAGAGAACAGAGAGCATGGCATAAGTAATTAAGATTATGGGGAAAGGATCACCTGATAGAGACAGAAAATCAACCCCAAACTCAGAGAATCCCAGAAAGGTTTTGTGACTTGCCCAAGGCGATCTAGTAAGGCAACTCTTGAATCTTTTAAAGAGAAAGAGTGAATTCTCACCTTAATTAAGTGTTGGGAGTGCCCCTGTCAGAGAAGGAGAGAGAGAGAGAGAGAATATGAATCAGCAAGTATGTATTAGGTTGCTGAAGTGTGCCCAGTTCTCTACTAGGCACTTTAGGAGGGATATAAAGCATAAGATATGAATGCTGCTCTCTAGGCACCTTGTCTTTGATGTTTTGCTTCTTCTACTTGGAATGACTTCCAATGTACTCGGGTATATCCAAATACTGCTGTTTTATCAAGGCCCAAACCAAATGTCTCCCCTGACAGGAAGGCAACCATAACCTCATCCAGAAGCCACTTTCTCCTCCAAATCTCCAAAGCATTTTCTTTGTTCCTATTTTATAGTATTTCACACCATTTGCTTTATCTGCTCCTACTCCTTCCCCTAAGAAAAGGAAGGGCAGAGAGAGAGAGCGCACACACAAAATACTCAACACAAGATTTGACATGCCATAGAATCTCAGTAAAAAAATGGATGGATGGCCTGGGCATGATGGCTCATGTCTGTAATCACAGCACTGTGGGAGACCAAGGTGGTGGATCACCTGTGTTCAGGAGCTCGAGACCAGCCTGGCCAACATGATGAAACCTCGTGTCTACTAAAACTACAAAAAAATTAGCCAGATGTGGTGGTGCACGCCTGTAATCCCAGCTGCTTGAGAGGTTGAGGCAAGAGAATCACTTGAACCCGGGAGGCGGAGGTTGCAGTTAGCTGAGATCATGCCTTTGCACTCCAGCTTGGGCAACAAGAGCAAAACTCCGTCTCAAAAAAAAAAAATGGATGATGGATGGATGGATGGATGGATGGATGGATGGATGGATGGATGATGAATACAGATGTATGGGTGATTGGGAGAGAGGGTAGATGAAGGGATGAATATGTGGGTAAGTGGGTGGGTGAATGGATGGATGAATAATAGGGAAGTATATCATTGGATAGGAGGGTAGAAAATTGATTAAATGTAAGTGGATTTGTGGATGAGTGGGTAGTTGGACAGGTGAATGGGTGTTCTATGGACAGATGAATGGAAGGGAATGTGGGCGGCTAGTTGGGCTGGTAAATGTATGGGTTAATATATAGTTGGTTAATGTATGTTCTCACTTATAAGTGGGAGCTGGACAATGAGAACACATGGACACAGGGAGGGCAACAACACATACTGGGACCTGTCAGAGGGTGAGGGGACAGAGAGCATCAAGATAAATAGCTAATGCATATGGTGCATAATACCTAAGTGATAGGTTGCAACAAACCATCATGGCACATGTTTGTCTATGTAACAAACCTGCATATATATGTGGTTGGGTAGTTGCATGGGCAAACAAGTAGATGAATAATTGCATCATTGTCTGGAAAGACAAATGTCAGAGTAGGTGGAGAGAATTATTTGTTGGGGGGACATGGAGATGTTCCTAATATCTTTCTCACAGAAACTTTCCATTGCTGGTGCCAGAAAAGTTACGATGGAGGTTAGTTGACTCTGTGCTTAAGCTGAGTCAAAGTGTGTTAACACCCCCAAAGATCTCAGGCAATTTCAGGCTGTATCAGTGGAAATCTAATAACAAGACCAAAAAGAGTGATGATTCTATCCTGCCCTGAGCTGTTCACACTTCCCTGGAATCTGTGCTCTGCTCTGTACCTCTGAATAGATGATGCCATCCAAAGTTTGTGCATTGCTATGGTGTCCCCCAAAGTCCATGTGTTAGAAACTGAATTAAACAGTGTTGAGAGGTAGGGCCTTTAAGAGGGGATTAGTTCATAAGGGCTCTGCCCTCATGAAGGAATGAATATTGCTATCATGGAAATGGGTTCATTATTGAAAAAGTGGGTTTGTTATAAAAGCAAGCCCTCTCTTGCTCACTCTCTCTCTCTCTTTCTCTCTCTATCTCTCTTTCTCTCTCACACACACACCCTCTCTTGCCCTTCTCCCCTCTGCCGTGGGATCACACTGCACAAAGGCCCTCACCAGATGTGGGCCCCTCAATCTTAGACTTCCAGAAGTGTAAGAAATAAATCTCTGTTCCTTATAAATGGCCTAGTCTCAGGTATTCTGTTACAGTAGCACAAAAATGAACTAAGATATGCACATAGGAGATACAGTAGGGAGTAATCTCTAAAGTCCAACAATTGAGGAACCAGTGAAAGAACCTTAAGTGTTCAGCCTGGAGAAAAGCAAACTCAGTAGTGGCACCTACTGTGTCCCAGGATCTGGCTGGCTGTCCTGGGGCATGCCCTATGTCCTTGGAAGCAGAGCTGGGTCCGAGAGGAAGTCACCAGGCTGGTATCCCAGCCCCATGTGAAAAAGGACTTTCTCCTAGGTGGAGTCATCACACAAGGGAAGGACTATCTCAGGGCAGTGAGCTCCCTATTCCTGAGGGTGTACAAATAGGGTCTGGGCATCCTCTATCCAGGAAGCTGCAAAGTAGAGGCATGCTTGGTGTGGAAAGTAAATTAAGGTATCGTCCCAGCCTAAAGTTAAATAGTTTGTTCATCTCTTCATTTTTCAATGAATTAGGTTTATCTATGTCCTGTACTCAGAACTGGAGTGCAGGGAAGTTCTGTTCATAGCTAAGGGTTAGGGGGATCTAAGAGACAGACAGGGTCTTAGGGACCCTTGTCTTTCTCTATATGTAGGACAGGGGCTTGAGGAATGAGGAGTTGCTGAAAATGTCCTTTCATAGACCCAAATGACTAGGAAGGAGGAGGAGGATCAGAGCCACTAAGAGCCAATCCATGACCCAGATTCTCTGTAATTAATGAGTCTACGTCACTGATGTGTTGGCTTCTGATCAACACCATCTCCCCAAACCCGGCCCCACTCTCTGGTATGAGAAGATTAAATCAATTAGGAGGAGGAGGAGATCTGGCTGGCGCTGGTTGGGGACAGCAGATAATTCACTTACATAACTGGGGATTGAGGTTTGGACTTGGTCCTTGAGTAGTGGGGGTGGATTCCAGATCCTAGGCCTTTAGAGAGGGACTCTGGGACTTGAGAGTGAATGCAGAAGGGAAAGGGAGTCCAGGAGAGGAGGGAGTCATGAGCTCAGGCTCATCTTTTATCTTCCTGCTAAGGAACTAATCCCTGTCCTCTGGGCTGGAAGAGGTTCAAAATTGAAAAAAATCACCGTCCAGTCCCCAAATGAGGGTGTCCCAGCCACCAGTATCATTGAACAATGCAAATCTAGCCAAGCCTCTCTCTTTAGCGTGGCATTCAAGGCCCTGCAACCTCTCTACCTGCATCATCTGCCTCCAAAAAGTGGGTATGAGTGAAGAGGAACTACCATGTCCTGGCATTCCCTCTGGGCTAGGTACCAGCTAGACCCTGGAGGTACAGAAGGAAACAAACCTGGTTCCTTCAGGGGTACTGCTTCGTGGGGGGACACATACTCACAACACTCCATGCCAAGTGGCAAACAGAGTTCTGCATGGGCAGGCACGGAGACAGCACAAGGGAGGGAGGCCTCCCAAGGCCAGTTCCAGAAGGCTTCCCAGAGGAGGTGGCACTTGCACTCCCTGAGCCTTAAAGGAAGGATGGATTCATGGGAGGTCTTCAGGCTGACCTGGTTGAGGGAGGGCTTTGGGTGGAGGGAAAAGCATGTACAATGGCATGGTGGGTGAGGTGGGTTGGCACGCATTCAGAGAACTATGAATGAGTCTTGTGGATGGAGCCTGGAGAGTGAGGTAGGGATGGGGGGTGCAAGGTAGGATAGGTAGGCAGGCTTAGGTCTCACTTTTGATGGGATGCCAAGAAAGGATTGAGGCAATGATCCCAGACTGTCATTCCACACTTTCTAAGCACTGATGGCAGACCATGTCCCATGCTAGAACTGGGGTGGGGTGAGAGTGGGGGAGCAGAGGTGAACCTGACTCAGTCCCTGCACCCATGGGGACTCTAGAAGGACACACAAATATTCCCTCTTTTCAAGCTGGTTAGTACCAACTTGGCTCCAAGTGAGATTCAGGCCAGACATGGTATTTCTGGGGCCCCAACTGTTGGCTAAACCTGTGTACAGCCCCTTGCCTATGAACTGAGATACCCAGACAAGCAGTCTCGCTGCTCAGAGGGGAGCTGACATCTGGGGGCCTGTCCCTGACAACTACCTGGCCTCCCAAGGATACATCTTACAGTAATCCAGGGCCTTGGGAAGAAATGCAGATGGATGAGAGGATAAACTAGAACCCTGGGGATGGGGGCAAGCCATGGATTGAGAGATGTTTAGTAGGTGGATTCACCAGGACTGCTGGATGCTGGGGAAGAGAGATCAAGGGAAGTGTCCTGGATGGCACTCAGGATTTCTATATTGGGCAGTGCCATCCTTGGGAAACATGGGAGGATGTGAGATCAGAAAGGGAAAATGAGTTGGAACTGTTCCAGGCTGCTGGAATCAGGATTCATTGGGTAGAGGCCCAAGAGCCTTAGGAATTCAAATGCACCACACATAAGCTGCCTTCAGGAGCTTTCTTCTTCACATGGAAATCTTCTTTGTACTCTCTCCCTTCCCTCCTTTACTCTTTCCATCAGCAGCCCTCTCTGAGCACCTCCCCTTTCCAGGCTGGCTCTGGACCAAGCAGAGAGGCAAAGATCTGAGGGTCATCCTGTTCTTTGTCCAAAAGGCCAGCACAGAGAATGGTACTTCTAGCATATCCCCCAGGACCTTTCTGCATGAAAACTTGGGCTGGAAATTGAAGCTAATGTTTCAAATTTACTTTATTATTGGAAAGATTTAAGAACTAACCTTGGCTGGGCACAGTGATTCATGCCTGTAATCCCAACAGTTTGGGAGGCCAAGGCAGGAGGACTGCTTGAGCCCAGGAATTTGAGACCAACCTGGGCAACACAGTGAGACCCTGTCTCTACAAAATAAATAAATAAATATGTGGATAAGAACTAACCATTGTGGTGCAAGCAACAAACTGACTCAGGTTAAACAAAACAGAAAAAAACTATTGAAAGTTCCACCAGGCATCTCAGAATGGATGAGAAAGCTGGAGATGAATGAACAGCTGAATTCACAATCAAGTTCATAACATAGGAACAGCTGATTCCAATGTCTCCAACAGCATGATCTTGGCCTCTGAACATCACCCCACTGCATACCCAGACTGTGGCATGACAAAAGCACAATGAGTTCTAATGAAGCTTCCTCCCAGCCTCACCAATTTTCACATCAAATCCTGAGCCAGGCGCCCTGTCGGCCAAATTGCAGGGAGTGGAAGTGAAAGAGTATCTGGCCACGTTTGACTTTGAAGGGGGAGATGGGATCCTAGTTTCCATAAAGCCTCACCTAGTGGGAGATTTACTCAAAATACAAAGCAACGGATTAGTCCTATGCAGCAAAAAAAAAAAAAAAAAAATTGTGGCAAATGTTCGCTGCCCCTTTATTGAGGACCCACTAAGGGCTCAATTCATTGCCACGAGGTGTTTTTGTTTTTGTTTTTGTTTTTTTACAGTAAAGGCCCAGCACTATATAGGGTTCCAAGGTCTCTGCCTTGCCAGGAGTTTTATATCCACAATTTATTTTTTTCTTTTTTTTCTTTTTTACTTTAAGTTCAGGGG